AAAAAAAAAAAAAAAAAAAAAAAGATAGATCACACTGGTGCAGAGGCACCATTGAAGAGCTAGGTGGCAATCACAATTATTTACTAGAGCTAGTTACTTTCCATGGTATTATGAGGGGGATTGTGAGTAGAGGCCAATACTCTCATTACCCAGTAATTCTATGTCAGCCACCTCAATGTTCAGATGGTGTCCAAGAGCTGAAGAGGCAGCTTTTCTAATTCACATCAGTGTTTTTCTCTTTGTTCTCTTTAGGGGTAGCATTTGGGTCCTTCATTATCCTCTGTGTGGGCGGACTAATCTCACAGGCATTGGGCTGGCCTTTTATCTTCTACATCTTTGGTGAGTCACTCTTTGAAACCTTGTCACCACCATTGCTCAGGAATTTGTTTTATTCTTCTCATATTAATAGAAAAAATGCTTTGTCAAATGAAGAATTGAGGAGTGGTAGCATTCAGAATCTAGTCCACACATGTTGACCAAATGCTCTCTGGTGGTTTTGGGAATCCACTTACTTGTACATGACAAGGGAGATACCCTTCTTATGGTACCAAATGCTGAGAAATTAGTAGTAAAAGCTTACCCTTCTACCCCCAGCATCTTCTCAGACTCTGTGATTGCACCTGAGGTATCTGGCTTAGTGATCAAACATATGCAGTTAAAATGTCAAAGTTGGTTGAGTCCACTGTCACTATGTCTTCACATTGTGTTATATAATCATTAATTCTGCCTAAGGCAACATTAACTTACCCTCTACCAAGTGAACCTCGCAAAGGTCAATTCAGATGTCCCCTTATCCATGGTTTCTTCCAGAACCTCTCTAGATTTGTGCATTCTCTCTCTTCTGTAATCCTGATTGCTGATTCCTTTCCAGGTTATGTTTGTATGTAGTCATTTGTTTCTTCTTCTCATCTCTCCATTAAACTGTAAAAAGCTTGACACAAGGAATCGATTATATATAATTTTCTCACTTTAGTAGCATAGTATCTGCAGAATCCAGTAATGCAAGGATATTAAAGAGTTATTAGTCCCTCAAATACTTTAATACAGAATATTCTTCGAATGGCAAATTCTACTAATGAGACAAAGTTCTACAGATTGTTATTTTGTTATAGCTAAATGGTATCATTAAATTTAGATCCAGCAGTTTTCTCATTAATGATGCTAATCCCAGACACCTTGTTTCACAAATGTTAATCAGGTGTTGCCAAGAAATATTCCACCAGAGAATCCATAATGAATATTACTTGTGGCTTGAATACAAATATGAATAACTTGGACATTTTCCCAGCCCCATTGATTTGTTGCTCTATGTATTTCCAACTCTCTTTGTCCTCTATTCTGAATATTTGGCACTTCTGAAATGACAATAATTAATTTATTAAGAAGCTAAGTGGAAAACACAAAACACTACAAGAATAGAATCTTAAGAACAATTAATGAGCCATGCAATGCCATTTTCACATTCAGGACTCTGACACTGGCAAAGGCAACTCAGAGTTTGAGAGCTGGTATCTGAAAAGCTTTGAAGAAAGCAGAAGATTCTTAAGATAAAAAGGAAGAAATGGGAACATTTAGATCTTTGTAATGAAAAAAATCACAAAGTGATGTGTGATAGAAAAAGAACACTTCAAAAGTTCTTTCCCCAGTACACGAATCTACCTAAAAACTTATTGTGTCCATACTTCCCAGGTAGCATTGGCTGTATCTGCTGTCTACTGTGGTACATAGTAATTTACGATGACCCTATGAATCATCCATGTATAAGTGCCAAGGAACAGGAGCACATTGTGTCCTCTCTGGCTCAGCAGGTACAGTGCGCCCACACCTTCTGCCTGTGGACCACCCAGACGTCTCCAGGGCTGGGCATGTGTTCCCTGGGAGAGGCACTCTCTGGCCTGTTCTAATCTACATGCTGATTAGCTGTTTCCTTTCAGCCCAGTTCTCCCAGACGGTCTGTCCCCATAAAGGCTATGATCAGATGCCTACCACTTTGGGCCATTTTCACTGGGTTTTTCAGCCATTTCTGGTTATGCACCATCATCCTCACATACCTGCCGACGTACATCAGTACAGTGCTCCATGTTAACATGCGAGACGTAAGTGTCCTTCCCATATATTTATAAAATTGATGATAATGGCACTTGTTCTGTGCTGCTTATTGAATTCCCACCTTGCACATAACCATTCATTTAACTCTCACAATAACCATGAAGAAACACTATAACAATTTCCATTTCACAGGTACTGAAACGGGACACTGAGAGGCAAGAGAACTAGCCTTGGGCCACAGTTACTAAGGGGTAGAGTTGTGTCACATCTCTGACCACTGTGCCTTACTGCTACACCAGCTGCTTCTAAAGTCTCCTTTAGAAGCTCATGTTGCTTTTCTCTAGCACAATGCAGCTGCTGGTGCTTCTTCCTGAGGTCATGCTGTTCCGTGTAAAGGATGCCTGTTTCCCCCCAGCTTCTTGGAATGCTGTGGTATCCTACAACTGATGGTTGGTCTACCCCACCAGTAATTGTTGGTGCCATAGGCACCTCTATAATTGTTCTGTGTAATTTTCCTTCCCTCAGAGTGGGGTTCTGTCTTCCCTGCCTTTTGTTGCTGCTGCCAGCTGTACAATTTTAGGAGGTCAGTTGGCAGACTTCCTTCTGTCCAGGAATTTTCTCAGCTTAATTGGAGTGCGAAAACTCTTTTCATCCCTAGGTAAGGAAAGGCATGTGGGTTCAATTAACCAACCCCATGTGGTTTTAGATGGCTCCTGACATCCTGTCCTCATTGTCCAGGCCTGCTTCTTCCATCACTTTGTGCCATGGCCCTGCCCTTTGTGGCGTCCAGTTACATGACAACCATTGTTCTGTTGATACTCATTCCTGGAACCAGCAACCTGTGCGATTCAGGGTTTATCATCAACACACTAGATGTTGCACCCAGGTAAGATCTCCACCTGAGTGTCCCTCCTCCAGATCCCTTCAGAGGTGTTGGACCTCAATCACCACCATAGAAAAGAAAGCCTTCCAGTTATCAACATACATTAAATGATGGCAGAATGACAAGTGACAGAAATGTCAGTATCTGGCCATGACCTAACATGGCATTTAGAGCCATACTTTCCACTCCTGCCTGGTAACCATTTAGATAAAACAGTTTCTCAAACTCTCCACCTAGAGATTAGACATTGTGTTTTGGCAAAAGGCCCACAGACATGTGTTTTGCAAGTTTCTACAATGTTGACCACATTTTCTTTTTTTTTTTTTTTTTTTTTAATTTTTAAAGAGAATTCAAAAAATAGCAAAAAAAAAATAGAAACAATACAGAATTTCACTAAACAAAATGATGAGAACTCAGCAATAGTTATTATACTGCATATTATTAGTTGTTCAGATTACCAGATACAAGTCTGTATGATTGGTTAAAAAAAATATTAAAAATGAAAAAAGAAAGAGAAAAATATTTAAGCATTAGCTACCCCTTTCAATAGACCAGCAGAAATCGGAAGTAGAACTATCCAAGCTAGTCTATGTTTGTACATATGTGTTTCCTTTTCTTTCTTTCCTCCATTCCATTTGTTCCTTACCTTTGGTCAGCTTCTTTCCCTTTGGACAGTTTCTTTTCTAGTATCCACTGTACTTTTCAGATCAGCTACTTTCTGTGAGCCAACTCCAGTATTAAAATCTTCTCAGAATCAATACATTTAGACCTCTCATTTACACTGGGCAGACTCTGTTATTGCCTCCTAGTGCAGAGGGAGAAGACTGAGGCCTGTGGAGGTTAAAAGGAATGCCTATGGCCATGCAGGGCAGAGGCAGGATTTGGACCCATGCAGTTTGGCTTCAGAGTCTATGTCCTGTCCTGCCCACTGCACAAAGTGCCTCCTGTGCTGAGCAGTAGGGTGGGAAAAATTGGTTCCCACAGAGATCAATTCTCTGATTCTACTGACTCAGCACACAAGTGATTTCTGGGTTGGCAAGCAGACATCTCCCCGGAGGTCTTCGGGTGAATGAAAAGCTGCCATAGGCTAATGAGTTTGATATTAGAGATTGGTTTCATTTAAGCTGAGTTGTGGTGGTAATGGTGACTTTGTACAAAAAACCAAATATGAAATCTTCTCCACAGATATGCAAGTTTCCTCATGGGGATCTCAAGGGGATTCGGTCTCATTGCAGGAATCATCTCTTCTACCACCACCGGATTCCTTATCAGTCAGGTTAGGCATGTTATTGAACATCTGCAAGTAGCAGGTATCATTTTAGGCATTGGGCATATACACTGTGCTCGTGAGATGGTGTGGTCTGTGGGGAAGTGAGCATTGTCCACACATTTGCCCAGGGTGTGCAAACTTCTAGATCAGAACCTGTTGGGCAGGCTTCCTGAGGGAAGAAAAATGAAAGCTGGATTTCTCCAAATGACTAGATGTTCAATTCATGAACACCCACTGTTTGGGTTCAGAAGACAGCATGTCTGGCTCGTTAGAGGTAGAAAGCATCAAGAAACACTCAGTTACAAACAGGAAATAAATGATCTAAGTGAAGAAGACAGTAGGGAAGAATCTCTCCAGGTTAATCTTAATTTTTAAGAAAACTGTAGAAGGAAAACCATAAGGCCCAAAAACCAGTCTAAGAGAGGCTGACTTGTCGGTTATGAGAAGGGCTGCCAGCCACTGCAGCAAAGGAACAGAAGCTGATTCTTGCACAGGGTAGGTGGGAGGATAAAAGGGCAGAACCAGCTCAGGAAGGAATAATTGAAGGAGCATCAGTACAAAGCAAAAGTTTGTATTATTGGCAATAAATCTATGTGATCTCATTCCAAGGTTGGTAGATTTCTTTTTAGTCAAATTGCTAGGAATGTGAAATAAACTAGGGGATAGAAGAGGAGGGTCACTCAAGCAGATCATATAGGACTCCTGCTGTACTGAGATGTCTGCCTAACGGGCTGTGGTCATCGCTGTATACCTAGGAAAAACATGGATAGTATGGTGTTCAGTATAATTCACTATATTTTAATGGATGCTGAGATCCAAAATTCAAAGACAACATCAGTACAGCTTAATTTAATTTTGTTTAAACAAACAGCCATCCCAACTGAGAACCCAATATGCATTTTGGAGACATTTCATTTCCAACAGTTTCATAAACTTTCTTTGATAACTTAAGATGCCTGGTGTCTATTGCATACTGTGGCTTAAATACTTTGTGACCAGAATTTCAATATATAAAAATAGAAGATTTATATAACTGGTGGGAAAGGGACTTGTGAGATTAAATAATTACGTTTTATTTTTGTTTCTGTTTTTGTGTGTGTCTAGGATTCTGAGTCCGGATGGAGGAATGTATTTTTCCTGTCTGCTGCTGTCAACATGTTTGGTCTGATCTTTTATCTCACCTTTGGACAAGCAGAGATCCAAGACTGGGCCATAGAGAAGACTCTCACTCACCTTTGAAGATACACAGTCTGAATCTGTAGTACAAATCCTTAACATTGTAACATTTTTTTTTAACAGATCGCCAAGCTTTCTTCATAGTCTTAACCGCAGACATAGTGCTCTCCGCTCTTGCCGTGTGCTGGACTTTCCTAGAGAGCTGTGAAAACATGCAAACACCTGCACCTCAGTCCAGAGATCATGGGAATTGGTCTGGGGTAGAGACTGGACACTGCTGAATGTTAGATTTCTTTCCCTCGAGATTCTAACAGGCAACCAGGGTTACAACTGGTGGACAGATTTGAATAGGAAATTCTGTTGTCCTTGAATTTTCCTGTTTGGAAAATATTAAATGAATAAAAATCTATGTGAAAATAATCACTGATTAAAACCTTTATGAGATAGCTAAGAGCACAAGTATCTATTGTGAATTGTAGCCATGTACTATAACGCTTAGGAGGGGGCAGAATTTTAAGTTGGTGATCCATAGAGTTAACATTTTTTTACTGTTTTATATACTGTGAGGCATGAGTGTTTATTTTTGTAGTTAAATTCTATTAAAATCCATATGCTAAAATTAAATAGACTACCTTAAAATTATTTAAGTTAGAATTTTTCCATCACACATAACAGAAAATGATCAGGCCCAGATTCAGTGAATGAGGTTGGGAAATTTGCACTTGTGAGAAGAACAAACATTAAGGGGAGCAGTGTGCTTGCTTTCAGAAGAGACAGAGACACGACCTCAATAATATGATGACAAGTAGAGGGATACAACCGAGACAGCTCAAGTGAAATGTTGTACAGGAGAAGAAAACAGTGGTATAACAGGTTGGAAAAAGGCTCAGAGAAGTATCGTGTAGAACAAGCTTCTTTAGGGTAGAAAAGGCCATTTGGGCTTCTGCATATTTTGTTTTCTCAAGTTTTTCCAGTAGTCAACATCAATCCCAGCAAGAAGTGACACTGGCTCCCATAATGTCACGCATATGATTCCATGTTGTCTTCACACATATAACTGGTTCTAGTTTTGCTTCAGTATTTCTAGAGACAAAAACTCCTTCCATGTTTAGGATCCTAGAAGAACCAGAAGGACTAGGACCTTGGGCTCGTTGAGCAAGTGACAAGAAACTCCAAACGTCCATCGATAGGTGATTTTGAACAGATGCTTCAAGGACACAGCAGTCAAGCCTTGATGGTAATAGTGTGTGAACATGCTGCTTTACCTTCAGTACCTTTACAATATGCAGAGAAAAAGGAGAAGAAAGACACAAAGAAAGAGAAGGAAAATGAAAAGAGGGAAGACGAGGAGGAAGAAGAATGATAAGAACAAAAAAGGTCATATAGGCACATTTTCTATAGGAATAATGGCAGTAATCCATTAAAATGGGCAAATGACTTCAACTGGAGTTTCATAAAAGAATTGTTTTATTTTAAAGAAAAAAGACAATAAAAACGATGATACAAAATTTCAAAACAAGATAGTAGGAAACTAACAGTGGTTAATGCATTGTTTATTTTTATCTTCAAAATAGTTGATCAGATTATAAGATATAGGCATGAAAAATTAAAATGATATAAGCATAACTTCTTTTTTCCAATGAACTAACAGAAATTAGTAGCATAGCTATCTTGACATTCTTGTGTGTATAAATATTTATATTTACTATTATTTTTCTCTTCCTTTTTTCTCCTTTCCCCATCTAGGTGTCTCTGAACTTTCGAACAGTTTCTCCTCATTTCCAATATCTACTGTATATTTTGAATCTAACTTACTCTTTCAGATTCTTACACTAGGGAGACAATACCATGTTTACACATGCAAGACTAATTTATTTCACTTGTGAGTATGGTCTCAAGTTATATCCACTTATCTATGAAAGTCTCAAGTTTATCCTTCTTTATAGCTGAATAAAATTCCATTTTATAAATTAATAAAAAAAAACTTCAAAAATTTTCCTCCATTCATTGGTTGATGGACATTTGCGTTGTTTCCAAGATTTAGCTTTTAAAACTTGTGCTGCAATAAACATGGTTGCACACATATCACTGTGTGCAATTTTAATTCTTCTGGGAAAATACCCAGAAGGCGAATTCCTGGGTTGAGTGAAATCACTAATCCTAGTTTTCTGAGGAATCTCCACACCAGTTTCCACAGTGGGTGCATTAGTCTACACTCCCAACAACAGTAGAGAAGGGTTGATTTTTTTTCCCACAGCCCATCCAATATTTGTTATTGATTGATTTCTTGATGATAGCTATTCTTTCTGGGAGAAAGTGATATGTCAGTGTTTTAATTTACATCTCTTGAATAACCAGCGATGAACATTGTTTCATATATTTAGTTTCTGTCTGCATTTCTTAATTTGAGAAGTGCCTGTTCATCTCAGATGTCTATTTTTGTATTAGGTCCTTAAATTTGGAGGATGTCTGATTTTTTTCAATTCTTTATATGTTCTAGACACAAGTCATTTGTCTAAAAGACTGTTGGCTACATTTTTTTTTTTAGTCAAATGCTCTGCCAGTGAGTTATATCCCCTCTTAAGTTATTTTTTTTTCATTCTGTTTTCACTCTGTTGCTGATTTCTTTTGATGTGCAAAAGCTTTTTAATAAGATGACATCCCACTTCGTGATTCTTTGGAGCTTTTTCCATGCAATTTGAATTTTGTTCATGATATCTCTGCCTATACCTACATCTTCAAGAATTCTACCTATTTCCTCTTCTAGTAGATTCAGTTTTTGTTTTAATATTTAGACCTTTAATCCATTTTGACATTAGTTAAATGCATGTAATTGACATGGGTCTAATTTTAATCTTTGGCATGAAGAAAACCAGTTTTTCCAGAACCGCTTATTGACCTATCTTATCTTTCTTCCAGTGAACATGTTCATCCCCTTTGTCAAAGCTAAGGTGGCTGACTATGTTTGTAGTCTGCATCTTCTAATCCGTTTTTAACACCTATGGTCATGCAAATTAATTCACTTTTCTCAAATAGCTTATTGTTTTCTATTTGAGAATGAGGTCATCTGTTATTTCTTTTTTACTATTACAATATTATAAATTATATTAACGTATTCCTCAGAAATGAGCAATATTTTGAGTACTTTTTATATATGATAGAATTTGATTTTCTAATAGTTTATTCAGGACTTAGGCTGCTGGGTGGCAATATGAATGTGGCTCTAGATACAGGTATATGTATGAGGCTGATGCCAATGTCACAACAAGAAAGAAAAACCTTACTTATCACTCAATAAGCAGACAAAAATGAAGGTGTTTGTGTCCTTGGAATGGAAGTGTTATATGTCCTTGTTATCTAAAGGCTTCAAAGTATTTATCTATAAAACTACATAGGTTTACAGATATGGTAGTACACAAGCAACACCAGTTACCCTGGAGTCTGAGATAAGAACATTGCGAGTTTTAGGTCACACTGTGCCAGTTAGTGAGACCCTGTCTCAAAATAAAATGTGAAAAGGGCCAGGGATGTGTTTCAGTGATAAAACACTTTGCTTGCACGTATAAGGCCTTAGGATCAATGAAAAACACAAAACAATGATTAAAAAAATAAACCTGTGGAGAGTTGGCGATATAACTCAGAGAGGCACAGTGCCTGCCTGGCAAATGAAAGGTCCTGAGTTCAATTCCCAGTACAAAACAAAACAAAATAAACCAACAAAAAAAAACCTATGTAGCATTAAAGCCACTTGAAAAGTGTTCTTTGACTACTTTCTCAATTTTCTTTATAGTTATTTGCATGTTAAGGGGTTCTGAACTTTCGGCAATCAATTTCAACATTTTATGTTATCTCTGAGAATTATCTGTTTTATATATAATATAAAATGTATTTGCAAAATCTTTAAATGTTTCGTCTTTTTAGAATATCTTCATTTATCTCAATCTGAGGCCTTGGTATTGCTTACTTCTGACCTGGTGGTAAGTGTTTTCTTTTTGCTTCTTCAGGTCACTCAGCTATTTATTTATTTTAAAGATAGCTTATCTCTTCATTGTGCAACTTCTTAATTTTATCTTTTATCTGTCCTTGTTAAAAGATAAAAGCTCCTATTTTCCTTTGTTTTCTTTATGTTGTTTTGAATACCTCATTTATTTTCATTTAATTATGAGAAATGCTAAAGCTGAGGGTAGGATTTCCCCTCTAAGCCCACTTTTGTGGACAGATTACATTTTGCTGTGCTGCGTCCTCACATTATTGTTTTCTTTCTCTACTGAGTCCCATGCAGTAGAAAAGCACCTGCTGACATTTACTTTATAGGCGCCCTGGGAACCGGCCCACTGAGATGTGCTCCATCTTGCACCAACTATAGAGCTTTTGGGTTCTCACCCATTTCCTGGAAATTTGGCTCTAGCCTTTTGTGGTTAGTGGGTGCATATTGCATTCAAACCTGCCATACAGGAGTTATGGTTTTTGGCATAATTTAGACATCCTAATTCTCACTGTATGAAATTCAGGGGCTGGACAGGGATGGCCAGAGTTAAGGAGGCCTCCTTCTCAGGCCAATGTCATTGCCTAGAGTGAGTGTTCTGGGCCTATTAAAGTGAATAACTCCTTAAGTTTACCTCTTGGATGCCACTCCCTCAGTTTAGGCTTGCTGGGCACAGACACTCCCCCACCCCACTCCAGCCATCCCTACCCCTTCATCTGGAAATATTTTAAAGGGAGTTTCAAAGATTATTTTAAAATAGTACTTAAATAATATCCTGTGTCCAAAACAAGCTAACATTTTTTTTATAACACTAAGCTATCTTAATAATGTATTGAACTATGAACTTACCTGAGTTCAGAATCATTGTTCCATGGTTTTTCTTTGTCAAACAAATATTGGCTTTCTTCTAGTATCTTCAGATGTGCAGTATGATGAAAACTTTGGTCAACAACTAATAGTAGCACAAGCGTTATAGATAGCTGAGTTAGATAAAAATATTACAGGCAGTCAGATAGGGCTGGGCCCTTGAGGGAGCCAGTATAGTAGACAATATACCTTGCAACTGTGGGAGAGACAGACACTCCTACTGAGGGCTAGAGTTCAAGACAAAAGATCAAATAAATGCATACCTCTCTAAGGATAAATATCAGAGACTGATATTCTAAATAGGTCTATATCAACCATGAGAAAGCCAGGAAAAGTCATGAACTCAACTCCCTACAGGAAAAGCCCTGTTCTATATTCATGTCCACTTGCTATGTGACTCGCTTCCCCATTTGATCCTGATTTAATCAATTTTATATGAGCAATTGTGCTTGTAACATTTTTTTATGAAGAGGAAAGAACCCAAAAACAAATATCAAGAACAAAGACAAAAACAAAGCAACATAAAACAATAAAAATGGTACAAAATTTTAAATCAAGAAGAGAAAAT